TTACCTTATTACATCCCTGCCAACATGTCTACAGAGCAGAACGATTCAATTTAAGCTGCTCTGTTTGGGTTTATAAATATGTCATGGGACAAAAAGAAATCGCAAATGCGCCTATCTAGATATATAAATAAGCTAAGGAAAAGCTAAATATAAATTATAAATAAGCTAAGGGAAATTAATTATACTCTGGTATGGTGGATAAGACACATATTCAGCGGTAGGAAGGTGAAACTACTCTTTAGTAGGGATGAACACCACACAAGTGATGTCCACAGGGTGGAGTACTCTCCCCACCCATGTGAAGCACAGTAGGACACAACAGACTGCCAAGGTTATGCATATGATATAGTCATAGTAAATATAGAAAAATTTGAACATACTCTATGCGACAGAATCCAATTTGGACTTGAATTATAAAACCACAGTTATAACATTTACATAAAATACAGACTCAAATATCTACAACCAATAACGTTTACTTGAAACAGCAGATTGGGAAGGACACGAAGACGAAGTGGAAGACGATCCTCCAAATCCATATCAATTAAAAGTTGGTGTTGCACATCCAAAATACTACGTTGGGTCTTCTCAGCAATTATCAGACCTGTCAGCCAATTCTAAGAATTAAGAAAGGAAACCTAACGGACAACTGGTTTAATCATCAAAGGTTTGAAATCTTGCTAAGCAGTGTCCTGAGTTTTCAATGCCAATGAATTCAAGGAATAGCTTTACTGAACTCTTTAAAACTGAATTAAGCAACAAAAGGTACTGGAAGGATATCAAACAAACCAACAAGCTGATGGACAACACAATTTCTTGGTTTACTGACGGTTTGCTCACAGAGGAAGATGCCGGAGCTGACATAGTCTGACCAGGCAAGAACCAATGGGAAGCGTTAAAGAAAAATAGCGTAAATTTACGCGATAATTAAATGAATACTCTTCAATATTGAACGAAAATACCAGGGAAAAAATGTAGCAATACTAACAGTCAAACAAGCAGCTATCAACACACTAAACTCGCTTAACCTGCTCGGCGAATTTAATTAGGTGTCAATTATCTGTGTATCGGAATATAATTACTTACGCGAAAAGACCAACAACACCGCTGATGGGGCCAGAACCTGTCTGTGAACTAAAACACATATAAATGAAGGAGAACCAGCATAAAAAGGAATACTAAGAATACTAACATGATAACCACAACCCAAAACACTTATTGATACCTATGACAATGGAAGATAGCAGGATTGTATGGACTTATCGAAAGCAAAACTTAGGATCATGATCGGATTATTAAAGGAGCACTGTAAACTAAAACAACACCTTACGAGGCTGGGCATATATACGGATGCTAACTATAGTTTCTGTGAAAAGAATGAAGTGCTAGTCATGCTAATACATGTACGAAATTGACTCCCGAGAATATATATCCTTACGAAAGTGGCAAATAAACTCTGCAAAGTAGTTCTATACTACTTCTTATTGACGCAACAGGGCTTAGATAAATGCTCCAATTCCAAAAGGAAGTACAATAGACCCGATGGTCACAGTGCCACATCACCGCTTAATAATAAAAAAAATAAATAAAACATATGTATAATAATGTAGTTGGTTCCTCCTAGGTAAATCATAGAGTACCTGGTAACAATTTAAATTAACACAATTTATAGAAATAGGTAACAACAACATTCCATAAATAGTTTGCATCCTTCAACACGCATTTCTCTACTCTTCTTCAAGTCAAAGCCAGCACAGCAGATCGTCTCAAACCTTACAGACACCACTTCAGTACATTTAAGCAGTACTGCTGATCTCCTTAAAATGTATACTATTCAGTCCGATTTGCGAATATATAATCAAATTCAATGTGAAATGTTCTCCAAAAAATTTCTCTCTTTAACTAGTGATACAGGGAATTATTTATTGTGCTTCAAATAAACTTTCTTTGCAAAATTTTTAGATTTATACCAAAAATATATGTATTTCATCCGCCTGGCCTTTTTGATTTCTTAAACCTGGGAATCAATTCGCGTACATATATTAACATAAGTTAGTCCGGAACACACTCTTTAAAGTAATTATCACTTTTAATGATAAACATAAGAAATCAAAAATTAAAAAAAAATTTCTTCAATAAACTTACCAAAGTATTAACACAATAATTTCTAAATTTACTACATTATCTTTATGTGAGGGATCGAATTATCAAATTAATTTTCTTGGATAATTTCAAAATTAATATTATAATAAAATATATTGAAATATAACTTCAACAGGAATGCTCAATAATATACTGGCTATCTTGGCTTCATAGTGTGCGTTGCTTAATAATTGATACTAAGCTTAAATTGACCGAGTCTAATATTAGTTAGAGAATAAAATTAATAAATTTAACTCATACGAAACCCTATAAATTATGAGTTTTTATTATAAAACATGCAAATGTGTCTAAAACACGCACTTAGTTAAGCACATCTATCTGAACGAGTGTAAATAAAAATATATTATGGCAAAGATATTTGCAATAAATAAACAAAATATTGCATAACCCTAGCAAAACACACGTTTGAATGAAAATAAAATAATTTGTTTAAAAACACACAAACGTAGGGAACAACGTGCCTACGCCATGCAGATACGGTTAACAGATATTAGATAGATAGATAGATGTTGCCATATATATGCATACGCACTCGTACATGTGAGTATCTCATGTACATATGCAAAGATAAATTTTATTATTTGTGGTATTTGCTTGCTGCCTTAAAGCATATCAATTTAACTTAAATATTTGCAATTTCTACCTACCAAATTTGTTGCAAAAGTTACTTTTGCGCATCACTTTCCATACAATGAAGGAACACGTTCGCATTTGGTTATTATGTATATTTAGCTTTCATCCATTTGTACTGTTTGGGCTGTGTATATTGTATCTATATTTGTTGTATGTGTTGTATAAGTTATGCTAACACCAGGCGGTAAACTTCAAATTACACAATTTTAAACAAATAACTTTGCTAAAACTATTTACAGTAATTGCCTAATGAATGCATGCGAATTTGTTGGAAAATAATTTTCAAAATTGATTTTCTGTATAATTTCATATGATAATCGTTATTTAAAACTAATGATTTTAACTTTTGTACGAGTACAACCATTACATTACAACTTTCCATTGAAGGAATATTTTGTTCAACAAGAGCAAAGTTATTTTGCAACAAAATGCCACAGAAGATATGATTTAAATGTGCTTCTCTCTGTGTAAACACACATATGAAACTTCGATCCATTAAACTTTTAACCCAAACATGCAAACTCATTTATTTCAATATCCAAAGTTTTCGGTATTATGATGCAAGATGTTTGCCGAGAATGTCTATTGCAGCTTATGTGCTTTACTTTTGATTAAGTAAGGTAAAGGATTGTTAAATAGTATGAGTTTTTGATTTTGATTAAAAATTCCTTAATCATCATTTGCAGAAAGAGAACACAGAAAGAACAATCTGAAATTATTTCTAACTCATATCTATTTTCTTAGACAAAATATCTCTATAGTTAAATTCATAGAGAGATAGTTAAAAGAACATTCTGACATAGAAATGCTGCAACAACAATTTTAGTATATAATGATTGATTTAAAACTATTTTGAATTTTTCGTATTGATTATAATGGCAATGGTATTCCTTAATCCAAATTAATTTCAATTTAGTATCTTTTACCAAAGTCATGTATACATAGATGCATACAGATATATTTCACTGCAGAATATATTCCTTTGAGTTTTGAAATTCCCAACATACTCATATATGTGTACATATATATGCAAAATATATCTCTTTCAATTCACAATCTTGTATTCTAGTCATATATATGCACATAAGTCATAAAATAAATGCATTAATTCAATCAATTTTATTGTGTCAAGTAACATTAAATCAAACTTATGAAAAGAATAATGCAGATACATATTACATTTTTTTTGTGTTTGTGTATTTATTTATCAGATCTTGCTATTAGAAACTTAAATTAACTAAGAAATCTCAACTAAAGTATATTATTTACATACTCTATCACTAAACCACGAAAAATGTTCATTGCAAGATAGCTATAGACCTAATAAGATATGTAGATGATCGATATTTATTTAAACTTAATTAGTAAGATTTTATATTTTGCGTCACTTATTCCTTCATTTTTTTAAAATAAATAGATATATAGAAAGAACGGATATTAGACTATCATTATTATCTTAACAAGTAGAGAGAGAAAAATAAATTCAAAAATGAATTCGAAGCAAACTTTTTCTTTTTTTTTAATACATAATTTATTGGATCTCTCCCTAGAAAAATAACAATAGTTTTTTAAATGCCAAAACTAATATATTATATATTTTCCGTAACACAACACACAAAAATATATGGTGTAATCTTTCTGAGATAATATATTATAAGTCATCAGATTTTGTCTGTCCATTATATGTAAAGAAATATTTAAATAAGGGGTACTATATTTTCCATGTTAATTGTAAGCTAACCTAAGATTATTTGAAGACGAACTTATGAACTTAAACTTTTCTCGTTTTAATTTTTTTGGACAGAATTTTAATAATAATTCTCCAGCTAAGTTTTAGGAGTGTGGTTCACAGTTTTATCTGTAATCACATATTATCTTATAGGTCCCTTTGGTCCCTTATAGGTCCCAAATGTTTCTAACTAATTTTTGACTGCAATCTTTGGCTTTCTCTATAATTGAATAACAAGCAGTGCCTCATAGTTTCACATCATTGATTAAAAGTTAAATAAAAACGATTTTATTGTCTAAGCTAGGTTTTGATTTGATAAATATTATTCAGTTTAGCTTCGCAATTTAAAGTTTTACTGACGGATTGGATTCTCCACGTTAATCTCTTATCCAATAATACTTTTAGGTAACTAATACGGTTTTTAGGGAAATATTGTGCTTTTCAATAAGCAGAACCACGCAAACTTTCTTTTTGAGAGCTTCTGCATTATCAGAAAATGTACGAATTGAATGATTACGAATTAGCATATATATATAAAATATAGTAACTCAATTACTTGCAAAATGCAGGAATAATGAAAAATTTTCAGTCAAAAAAATTTTTTTATATCCCAATAAATTTTTTTCCTAACAAACAACTTTTCGAGATATAATAACTACTGATAGGATTATATTAATAAAAATTATATTATTATCCAACATTAAATAAAAAGAAAGTTCTAAGTAGTATTTTATAACTTGCTCTATCATGCTCATTGTTGTCTAATCTGGTCCTTCATCTCGGTTTAGGGATGTTGATGCCTAAACACAATTTTTAAATTTTTTATTAAAAATGGTTTTTAAGTCTTTTATAAAAAATAGTTTTTAAGTTATGTATTAAAAATAGTTTTTAAGCTTCTTATTAAAAACTATAATAGGCTTTTCATTTGTTATATTTTCTTGTAACAAAGTAACATCTTTAAGGTTTCAATATATTTTGCATTTAAAAAACGTTAATATTGATTTTGCTACATACTCTTCTATAATTATGTACTCTAGCAGGCTCCAACATTACACTATCCATCTATTTTAGAGTAATCATAATCAAGTGTTAAATAAATATTGTTTTTCGAAAACTAAAAGATCAGAGTTCATATTTTGGAAATATAAAGCATGAAACTATTACTATATAAAAGTTTAGTATTTTTGCAAAAAAAAAAAATTTTCTGAAAATAGACTAAACTGTTAGTGTACAAATTTGTAAAGTATATATTATACGTTTACTATTTCAAGCCTTTTATCGAACATAGGTATTGAAATAAGGTCTTAAATTTTTCCGAAGCCTGAATTTGTTGATTGGTTTTTAACATCTTTAGTAGTTATTTAATCCAAAGCTATTCTAACTGCACTAACCGATTCTCAGACAAATCCAATCAACTCCTTTTTCTAAAACAACGTACTCAAAAAGAAACCCTATTCTCATCGCAAGATCTTTGCAGACTCCAACTACTGCCGCACTTGCCTATTTAATTTGACTGCATCACTAATGATGCCCTTATGAATAACTGAATAACCCTTATTTTAATTTACTGAATTACAAACATTTTAAATGCTGCATAGCATTTTCAATTAAATAACAACAACACCATTAACAGCAGCGATGACAACAACAAGGACCGTACAATATGCAAACAGTAGCGAGCAGTAGCTGAACTTTGCTCACAACACTAATTGTAATTTAATTTCCAATTAGCAAACAAACTAATTCTAAAATTCTCGATTCGACAACCATAACAGCAATGACAATAACAACAATAACAACAATTACAACAATTACAATAAACTAACAAACAAAAAAATTACAAAAGATAGATAACAAAATAAAACACAATAAAATGCAATAAAAAATGATACTAACACGTACACAAGCTTCACTTCGAATACAAGACACAGCACAACACAGTACAGCATATAACACAACACAGCTGAGTTAAAGTTGAAAGAAATGGTAATGCTTAAAAAAGCAACAGCAAACACACACTAGCATATATATCAGCTTCATCAACAGCAATGACAACAACAACAAACATTAAAAGCAACCAAAGCCAACTAAAAATGCCAACTACACCCACAATCATAAACATGCTGAACATGTAACAAAACAAGACAAAATTCTGCATGATAGACATTATAACAAAAAGAAATACAGAAACAAAAACAAAAACAACAACAACAGTAAAAGACATTTAACTAAGTTCATATAGACCGCTTGCCTTGCGTTGTCTTGCCATGCCTTGTCTAGTTAGTGAATCAGGCTATGCTGCCACCTCGTACTTGTGTATGCTCGCTCGTACACAGAAAGAAACTATGTAGATTTGAATTCATTGTGTTGCCACAATTTTCACAATTCTCTTTTATTTTTATTTCTACTTTTTAATTTAATTTTTTTTCTTTTTTCTTTCTCTTTTCCTGTGATTGTGTGTCTCTGCTGTCTTGGCGCTGTTCGATGCACGCAGCCTGTTGGCATTTATGCCAAGAAATACGAATGGGCCGCACGTCCTTCAAGCGGAAGCAATGGTTTGTCTTTGGACTTGCATCCGCCACCGATGCAGATTGGCGGTGACTGTTCATTGTGGATACGTTCGGCCACATTGGATTTTGATGATGGCCTCTGGGAGTGTCAGGTGACAGCAAGTGATTTTACAACGCAAGACGCTTTAACCAGTCAACCAGTGCGATTAGTTGTACGTGGTAAGTAGAGAAAATTTTTAGTTGAAAATAAATTTTATGTCAATGTTATGTTAAGAAAATTGCCATAAACATCCATAGCAGGGATAATAAAATAGACGTGAAATATGCTTATCCTGTTAGTTTCGGTTGGAAAACAGCGATTGATTAATATGCCACACATAAACCCAGAGCAAGTAAATATAGTTGCACCCGTAGTAATCAAATCGTGTATTATTGTAATGAAGAACATTGAAATTGAAATGCTTAGAATATATGCAAATATCAATATAGAATAGAATAAAAATAAACAGGGTACCAGCTCCCAATGGAACAGAGCACCGCGACCATAGTTGAACTTCAGTGCCGCAAAATATTAAGATATTGAAATATCAAATGGAGTAATATAAAACGATTTAAGTGTTTTTTTACTCAGTTGGAAATAATTATATATAATACTAATATTCACACAATATGAGCATAATTAACTGCTATTACCAGAGATTCATTATAATTAGTACGCAGTTATTACTAAAGTTAGTAGTTTCAGAAAATTTGCTTGATAATGAGAAGCCTGTAAACTAATATCAGTCATACTAGGCACAATGACCGCCCTACTTGATCTGTGGTTTTCCATTCCACTACAACCGGGTGATTTGGGTTCCATGCATTTTTGAATACATTTATCTATCTACCCATAAGAAAGTGTTTATAATGTATTAGATCACAAATATTTTATTCTTTATCTAATAGATGAAAAGAACCATTAATATCAAAATTAATTTAAATTATTTAAAAACAAAAGACTACCGTAATCGCATTACTATCGATAAGATATCTATAAATTTTTTCTAGGTGACATATTATTTTTTTCGAACGTCCACAGTTCATTTATTTTAACAATATACTTGAAAGCCATCGTCAATAAATAAACTTTTTCTGTTTATTCGATCTATCTGTAATAATACATAAACGAGACATAATATATATACATGAAAATACATTGATGAAATAAAAGAACAATTCCCGAGATCAGGAAGAGAATGATTTTCAATAAAGTTAAATACAGCAATCTCTCCTATAACTCGGTTCCCTTATAACGCGCTTTCATTTACGCATTTTAATCACCCGTATAACACGGGAATTCCCCCATATAATGCGGGGATTTATACAGTTCATAACTAGCTTCGCGTATCTTTGCACATGTTTATACGGGGTATACGGGAATACCCCTATAACGCAGAACCAATCTACTGCTCTATAAAGGGGATTACTGTATACCAATATTTCAACACATTAAAACTACGCATGTAAACATTTTCTTATTACGAATATTTTAATAAAATATTATACTTTGTTGACAATTTTAATTATTAACAAATCAGTTTGCTATCAAAGAAAATAAAGTTATTTGTCTTTTGACAAACTTTTCTCACAAAATAAATTTCATCTCAACAGTACTATTTCTGTTGACTCCATTATTAAAGGAACAACAATTGTCAGAAAGCTTCTAAAACGATCTTACTTTCGTCGGTATAATTCCATATACAATAGTGAATACACGAAAATCTTGTATATTTATTACATTCCTCTATCAGTTTTTTTACTCCAATTCTCTTTCATTTCTGATTTCATTTTAATGACAAGCATATCATATAGATTCGAGCTCAAAAAATTACCTCGACCAATTGCAAGTGCTATTCCAAACCAGTAGATTCACTTTGCTAATTCCAACAATTTACTTAATTACAATTACTTATAATAATTTCGTATGTTCTTAAAATAATACAAAACATGAAAACTGTAATCTCAGTTTCTTTTTCTATTACTACTATGAATTCAATCTTATTCATTTTATTTTACTTTAAAATAAATTATATGTGTAATAAAGATATGAATAGTAAAGTAAATATTATCCTCGTTCTTTTCGAGTCACATGAACCGGCATTGCATTCCTTTTCTCAGTAATCAAATTTTGCAGCATATTTATGTAACCACAAAAGCAATCTTTCAGCATTAGTCGAGTATGGCTGTGAGCAATTAACTTGGCTCTGATTACCAACACTGTGTTAAGTATAATTTTGTGTTTGCTGCACTGCATGTAGTTGTCCTCCAACAACAGACCATAAGCAATCTTCGAGATAGACTCCCACATTCAATATACCAACTACTGTACTAATTAGAATGCAATCCAGCTTTACGAAACAGACATAGATGCAATGCATGGCAATGTGCCATTTTCTCTAAATACAGTAAAAGCGTTACTATGACGGTACCTTCGTGTTATGTGGGAACTACATGACAATTATTACAGTACATGTCACCGCAAATTTCTTGCATTGTCAACCCTGCTCTGCTTTTTTTTGGCAACTTACAATTCGTTTGTACTATACTCTCGCATTACACTCTCGTACGTACTGTACTTTGATACGATAATTAAATACTAATACATACTCTGCTTGTCTATATTTGTTACTCTTGCAGTTGGACCGCAACGACCACGCCTCGAATACGAAGGTACTCATGTGCCACCAAGCCACAATATAACAGTCGACTCGGGTGCTGTGGCTACTGTAAAATGTGTTTCCCACTATGGTAATCCACCAGCCACACTCAAATGGTATCTGGGTAAGTGCAACATGTTATTTTCTTGGTTAATTGTTATTGTTATCGCCACTTTAATTATCATTTTACTTGCAATTTTAGTTACATTGGCGTTCCAGTTAGTGTCAATTATTTTCGCTTAAACTATAATTAAAAAAATGTAAACTCTATTTTTTTTTATAATTTTTTTTTGTTTTTCTACTTCTTAGGTGACAAAGAAATTGCGCCAATTCATCCGCAGACGAATAATACCGAACCGGACAATACACGCACTTGGTCTGCTACGTCAGTAGTGCAGATATCAGCTATGCGTGAACGTCATGGCGATATATTACGTTGCTTAGCCTTTCATGAATCCTATTTAGCCAAATCGGTGGCAGTGGAAGCACGTATGGACATCAAATGTAAGTCTGCACTTATTGCAATGAAATATACATGACATTAAGTATGTAGGGTTAAGGACATTATAGTTCAGAATTCAGTTACTTGCTTTTAAAAAGGGAGTAAAAAGTAGTTTCCGGGAGTTGAACAACATTTAAGTAGAAAATTACTTAATGATAACTACTTGGAGTTAATGTATTTATATATATTTAATATCATATGTAGCTCATTTGACATGAAGGACATAAACGTATAGTATACATATATAAGTGAAATGACTTTAAATTGAATACTTTATAAGTTAGTTTACATTTGCTTTCAAAATTTTTTAATAATAAATATCTAATAAATAATAAATATCTAATAAAATATCTAATAAAATAAATATCTAATAATCGATTCATATTTAAAAATTATTTTAAATCATTAGTATAAATCCCACTTTTAAGCTCTATAAAGCATCCCACTTCTATAATATTTGTCGATTGTGTCTGTTCTTATAGATTCTTCTTTAAGATGTAAACAAAAAAGTGCAGTTTTGATTTGTTTGAACTATTATACCATTTATAAGAGTATATGGGCAAATCATAGCCCATTTCTTGTAATTACTCTACTACAAAAGCAGTATAATATTGTAGACTTTCTTATAATGGGCTATGATTTGCATTTTATAATATTTGTAGTATTATAATATTTTACACATATACTTATATATATTCACAATATATATATATATATATATATATATATATATTCTAATATTTGAATCAACACATTTATTACATCATAATTTTGATAAAAATAGTTTTATCTATACGATAAGAATTAAAAGTGGATTGCTATAAAGGAGCAGTATTCGAATAGCCCTTAATTATATTATACCAATTACACAATATTACAGCTCAATTTAATAAAATTATTATAACATTATAAAAATTCTATAAAAATCGCTATAAAATACGGACTTGACTATATAATATATTTAATTAAAAACTCATTTCAATAATTTGTATCTTGTTTTAGACAGAACACGCTAATAAAATTAAAACTAATTTGATTATAACTGTGGCAGATATTTTAAAACTATTTATATTAATATTTTAATAAAATTAAAGCTTAATAAACCTCATCTAATTAATAAGAAGCATCAATTTCAGACCTGATCCCAGTTTTGTACGATATTCTGACTTTTCTAGAATTAATGCATTTTTACGTAATGCATATATATATACATGGTTTAGTTTAGTAATAGTTTTTTGAATAATCAAACAATTTTAATGAGAGGAAATGAAAAGATAGATACTAGGTATAAAGATAGATACTAATTTTGATCGTCGTTGAAATGATTAAGATTGTGTATCCGTTTTGAGCCATTCGGTGTCTCCTTAATTAGACCACATAAAACTCTTCAAACAACAAAAATATTACAGTTCATAATAATTCTCTACAACTCTTATTATACTCTTTTAACCTCAGTGTTTATTCTCTTCTATGATTCACTACGTCAATCATCGAAATATTTCAAAATATAATTGTTTTCCTTTTTACAAACTAAATCTCTTCTAAGTCCCACTTCTTAATAAATATTCTTAATTACACTTACTTTATTTAAAAACAATTTTCAAGCCAAAGCAACTGCTTAAATTGTTGTGTACTTCCCTTAAAGGCCATCAAAGTATCTAAGCTAATGCTTGCCAAAGTTTAAATTAATCAAGAGGTTCAAGCTACATAAGTTTGCATTGCTGCACAACATTTCAATCGAAATATTTTCTGACAGAATAGAGAAACATTTTAATCCCATCAAGAAATATTTGTAAAGCAAACCCAAATCAACATCGAATTAAAAATGAGTGAAAAATGAAGCACGTGCAACTAAAAACAGCCTTAAATATAGGCCTTTTCCTTTTTACTGCTTCTATAAAAAAATCTTCATAGAGCGAATAAATAAATATTTTTATTTCTCGGGAAAGTTTTAATTTTTTCCTCTTCCTTTCGGCTTTTAGCTGTGAACTAATGCAATTTGTATATTTTCAATTTTCCGCAAATTCAATTAGTTTAATTTCTTATCAACGTAATTCAGATTTTTATCATAATCACTTCCAACAGCAGCGCCATTCGGTATTTCCCTCAAGATACTACAGATACAAATTTTTATATATTTTTTACGTGTTCCTTGTGTGCTGTGCTATATCAATCCTGCTCAGAGTAGATTTAATTAAGCTTAAAGTCAAAAGTAATCCAACGTTTTTGCATCATTTAAATTAAATGTAAATGCCTTTATTTCATTTCACATCGTTTACTTTATTTTATTTTGATTTAATACTGCTGGCTGTCACGATTTCACGATTTCACAATGTTGTTGTTGTTCTGGTTACTCCTATAGATGCACCAACTATACGTTTAATTGGCTCGCCGGAAATCGACCTGGAGGAAGATAAAGATGCGCTTATACTGCGTTGTGTTGCAGATGCCAATCCGCCAGCGAGCATCGTATGGCGACGTGCAGGACGTTCGGAAATTGCCAGTTTACAGGTAAAACAGAATTTTATGATTTACAATGCATTAGTGCCAACTTTTAGCATTATCCTCGCCCAATTCCATAGACACCACCCACCACTGCTCTAGTCAAAAACACCAGCCTCAGCCTCTTTCTAATATAACTTCACTAAAACGTACCAGTAATTTCTGTGCACGAAATGTAAATTATTTTGATTTCATTTTATTTTCCAGGAAACATTGCAGCTACGCCCAGTCGGACGTCGCGATGCAGGCTTGTACACCTGCCAAGCACAAAATTCTGTTGGCACATCGGAGCAACTTTCTGTGCAGTTGGATGTGAAATGTGAGTTTGTTTTGAAAGGCGCAATGCATCGAAAATAGATTTATTTTGCGCTTCCATTGTGCAATTTGAACTTTATTTACTTTGAAAACATTTTCTCAACATTTCACAGATCCACCGAAAATTATTTCAGCTGGTCCGGATCGTCTCACTACCGCGCCGCTATTTAGTCCTGCTGCCTTTGAATGTGTGGCTGATGGCAATCCTCTGCCTACATATAAATGGGTACAACGGTAAGTTCTGTGCAACTCTGTTCAGCGACGTTATATGGAAACTGAATGGAAATCCTTTTTCATTTAACTTTTTTGTACAATATCCTTAAAAGCAAACACTGTGCTTAAATCGAGTAGATATATATTTGCAAACTTAGACAAATCTTTGCATATCTGATAAGGTCCTTGCCGTATCAACGCCAGGACGTTTGTAATAAATATTCATTGACACCAATTAAATGTTAGAGCTTGAAGCAACTTTCACAAACAACAAACGTAATTTCGGCTAAAGCCACATAGACTGGGATGAGAAATAGGTATTCAATATTTACGATTTTACGAGGGATATGTAGTAAGATTTATTGCTTCATTAAAACGATGTTGCTTAAGATATTAAGAACATCAATTATTTCAATTTTATTTAACGGATAGTTTTCTTTAGTAGAGGTTTTATATTCTTCTTAGGATGTAGAAAAAGTACTATAAAATAATTAACCTTGATTTAGTATAGACTTAATAGCGAAGGAATTATATTTACATACAGAATTACTCAAATATTATAAAAATTGTTAAAATTATTATAGCATTGCATCTTATAACCATTGTGTTTATAAAATAATTATCACAAAGTTATAACTCAAAGCATAATATTGAATGTGCTTATGTTAATTAGTTGTCAATAATATTTAACAGATTATTTACTTTAGCACATAAGTTCTATGTAATAACCGCCAAGTAATTTCGTCTTTTTAATAGACTAGAGGACTTTACCCCATGCAAACTTCACTCGCCAATCTCCATTATATTCATACATACTTCTCCGTATTCAGCAATATGTATGTGCTTTTAACATTCTCAAGACGAGACGTTAAATTTTTTGAACAACTTTAAAAGTAGAACAAAATTTGATGTCTCTTCTAGAGAATATTAAAAGCACATACACATTCTTGAATATGAAAGAGTATGTATGAATAGATACTATAACAGGGGTTAGCGAGCGAAGTTAGCAGGTATTAGAAGCCTCTAGTTTATTAAATAAACGAAATTATTTTGCAAACTTTTTGTTGAATTTAATGAATTTTTGTTAATTTTTTTTCTCTGATAAATATTCTATACGTTTTCTTAACTTTTCGATACGTTTTCAAACATAAATACGATCCTTACTTTTTGCATTTGATTTTAGTTTTGTGAACGACGACGTTCTTTTCTCTCAGCATTAAGAAATAAATAAACCCATTATTTTTTTTTTTTGGTTATTTAATAACCAAAATAAAGTTGAACTGCAAATTACCTTCAATTCCTAATTCCAGGAAATTATTTTCTTGAGAGAATTACTTTTGTATTTAAAAGTTTTAAATATGCATTAAATTTACCCCACAATTGTTCTAGAATTTGTAATGAAATTAGAGTTGACCAGCTACACACACATCTGTGTCCTATATATCAGGGTTCAGAAAAACACTGTGCTGTGCACAAAAATGCAAAACACCACGCACAAATGTTGTGCGATTCTAAAATTTCACACCACAAATGTGGTGTGCGAAAATTTTTGTGCACATCTTAAGTGCACATCTTGTGTGCACAAACGAAACGCACATTTCACACGAGTGTGGTGGAGTGAAATAAAACTCGCACACGCATTCGGTGTTTGTGCCGAAGTTATTTCGCACAGCACATTGTGTGTGCGGCAGCCAACATGCCCTCGCACACAACGTGTGCAGAAAAGAATACGAGAAGCACATTTTGTGTGCAGGCTCGAAAATAAAAATGCACCCAAATGTGCGGAGACGAAATGTCTACTGCACGTTTGTGTGAAATGATGATTTAAAAGCGCACAATATTATGACAAATATCGCAGCAAAATAGTACGGAAAACTGATTTGTATTAATTTTGGTCTTAATGCGAAATATTTTATTGAAGAAATAATTTTGTATTTATATTTTAATTTTGAATTTATTATTAGATTTACATTTATTGCTTATATTACTTATTTTTTTAAGGTTTATTAATTTAAAATATGGGAATAAAGTTAATTTCACAATGTACTTGAAAACTTTGTTATATTAAATAGGTACATGAATTTAATAGAGAAAGAGTATTTGTTTCGAAATGTTATAAGTAAAGAGGATCGGTTCTACGGATCGTACTTTGAAAAAATTAAATATATCAATTTTGGACTACTTCATAAAATTTTATTTAATAGTAAGTTGTACACTAAGATTCGTTAGTAAAGTTATAAAAAGCAAATTAAATATTTTTTACAACAACATGAATTAATTTTGTTATTAGATTTCAATTAATTTTTTATCTTTAATTACAGCTTAAATTTAACAAAGTTATTGAAATAATTTTATAATTTAATATCTTAATTTCTTATTATAAAATATATAATTTTTATTACAACTTTTTTTGAAATAAATTTTCATTTAATCTTATTAATAACATTGCTGAAATATTTTTTTCACTTAAATTATATCTCTGCTTACTTATCACAGTAGAAAGGGCGCTAAAATCCTGCTACCTGTTCAAGAAAATATTTTCTTAATCTTTCGCGTTTTTTAATGAATGTTAGATACTCTACCTATGTGAATACATATTTCTGGAGAAGAAAAATATCTATTTGTGGCCCTCCCGTATTATCTTTTTTAAACTGTTGCAAAATTTATTAAACAAATACACCAATACCAATACCTGCTACCTGTTCAAAAAAAATATTTTCCTAATCTTTCATATTTTTTGGGCATAAAAAAATCTTCCTAAAATATGTTTTTATTTTTTTTAAACTGGTGCAAAACTTTCCAAACAAATACTTTAAGTTCACTTACTATATTTGCATTTAAAAATGCACAAAGTAATATACAAAAAACTAATATTTTAAGTTAAAATACAAATAAGGTTACGACAGTTATAATTTTTAGTTTACATTAATTAACAAAAATAATTATTTTAAATATTTGTTAATTTATGCAATTTTTAACATAAATTACGATCCCAACGAACGCAAATATCAATTTTTTTCAAAATTTGCAACAAAATAATATTTTCTATTTCAAACAAAATTGTGAAGTTCCTGTAATTTTTTCCACCCTTGGGTGCAAGCGCAAAATCGCACATTTGTGCACGTTTGTGCATCGCACATTTGTGCACGTTTGTGCATCGCACATTTGTGCACGTTTGTGCAGTCGCACATTTGTGCACATTTGTGCAAACGTAATATGAGCAGCACACTCGTGTGCAAAGAGAATTTTTTGTCGCACAGTGCGGTGCGAGCATAAAATTTTCTCGCACATCTGATTGTGCACATTTTTAAAAATCAGTCACACAGCACAAATGTGTGTGCACGAATCTGTGTGCACAATCATCGCTTTGTGCGATGTGAAATTTAAAATCGCACAACAAATTTGAGTGCGTGCATTTTTTTTCTTAACACCACAAATGTGCGTGTGCATATTTTAAAAATAATTTCCACTCGCACAGTGCAGTGTGCGATTTTGTGCACCACATTCCGAACTCTGTGTTATATATGTTCATTAGTTCAGAAAACACTAAGCACGTTCAAAAATTCTTGAACAGAATTAAATTTTATAATATATTTTATTAAATCATGCTTACTATACATAATAATCACTTCAAGTTAATTTCTAACAAAAGATGCCTTGATTAAGGAAAACATCAAACAATCTTCGTACCTTATAATAATTTAAATTCAACGATATGGAGATGGATTGTTGAATAAAAATGACCGGGTAGCGGAACTTTTCATTAAATTTTATGGAGGAGGTACTTTGAGTTATACTTTGTGCTTGTATGTGTGTGTGTGTGTTTATATATATGTATGTGTCGACAACAAACCGCATTCACTTTGTGAGATATACGCCTTCCGTCATTATTTGCCTGCCAAAGAGCCAAAATCGCTGAAGGGCTTCAAATGCGCAACGAACTGCAAATTTCCATTTACATAGAATCAACGCGCTTTTTGCTGCTCTAAGCTGTCTTCTGCCATTAGTTCGTGACAACAATTTTTTTTTCTTATTCAAAATTTTTGTTTTTTTTTTTGATTTATCTACGCTGCCCTGCTATTGAAATACTCTCTTTCAGCCAACACCCGCCTTTAGACTTTACTCTAAACTGACGCTGATGGTTCGTTAACCTTTCGCTTGTCTCTCTATATATCGGCGGTTAGAGCGAGCTTATGTGCCATAGAACTGAATTCAAAAAACACCAGAAGAAGAAGAAGAAATTTTGTGCACCACAGCATTTCCGCTGAAACATTTTCTTTTCAATTCAAAATTCCGGCGACTTTGCCTTGTACATTTCAAAATTTCAACACAAACAAAACGTGAAATGGCACCACGGATATATAATGGAAATATGGAAATTAAAGGGCTTATTCTCGTGTTTAGCCACTTTTTACATAGTTCCTACTATATCAAGATGTTTACTTAGAATTTAAATGTTCATATTTTGATTTATCTGATGCTAATATAGTATTGCCATATTTCATTATAGTATTTAGAGTATTATCACTTGCTGTCGGTATATTATTCGAACAATATTTTAAATAAAAAAACTAACCAAACTTTTAAAAAAAATAAATTATATCATATTTATGCTCAACATATATTTTTAAATTAATATTTTTTATCCACACTTAAATAAATACCTATTCTGTTTTATTCTATTAAATATACTATTAAAAGAAAAACTTGGAGAATTTATAAATTATAACTAAATTTCAAACAATTTTTAAAAAATTCGAATTATTTAATTATATTATTATATTATAATAATTAATATAATTATAAAATTGTGATTTTATATTTATTCGTCTATAATCTTCTGAATATAATTAAACCACACACACTGAACATAATATCTTTTATTTTTTAATACTTCCTACATTTAATTGAATTAATTTCAGCTGGTTTATAGGTCGTATGAGTAACTTTTTGCGTACGGTACAAAAGCACTAAACACACAAAAGTACACCGCTTAAATAATTCTATTTACATAAACCATA